CATTGTTGGATAAGGTAGAAAGCCACTCTTCAAAAGGTTTAAATTTAAGTACTGACGTGACTTCTATGTTTTGTTGCGTTATGGTGATAGGAACACTGGTGCCACCAATATCGACAGAAGTCTTGGTGTTAGACATTGATCGATAAATAAAATATGCAGTTCTACGTATAAACAAAGCGTTCCACGAATAGTGGATGTTCAATGAAAGCTTACGAGCAAAACACGAATAAAGGGTTTTTTTATACATAATCTACATTCTGAATTCAGAATTAAATTCAGGTGATTATTATTATTGTACGTAGTAACGGTAATTGTATAAACATTACATAACGGATATTCGATTTTATTGGCTGATCTGATTTGGCTAAAATTTTAATCCTTCAAATATACTTGCTCACGTGAAACTTGAACCTTTTTAAAAAGTTAAACAAATTGATCCCAAACGCTCATATGAAGAAGTTCTATTGCAATTAGTATTTTTTTCAGTAGAAAAAAAACAACCAATAAAATCAAACATCCGTTATGCTATTAACCAATTACTGAAACCAATTGATTGGCTATTTTCCGTGTAGCGAAACATGCGCACAATGTGCAGTGCACAGTGCACAGTACTCGTGATTGTACTAAGATGCGTACGTAAGAATATGCGTACGTAAGAAATTACGCATACTCTTGTCATAAATTGAGATCAAGTAAATCAAAAATTTTGATTTTTTAATTATTATTTAATTTTTTTTGTTTAACAAATGACAACTCTTGAAGACAAAGCTCTTTGGGGTCAAAACGAGGATGGTCTTGAAGATCTCGGGCAAGAGATTTTGAAGTCCAGCACCGATGATATTATCAATCGCACGCGCTTACTCGAGAATGAAATTAAGGTTTTTAGCCATTGATAGATTTTATATTAATCGTAGAGATTTTAATTATGCATTTTATGTCTCTGATAAATAGGTGATGAAATCAGAGCATATGCGGTTGATGCATGAACAGAATAGCATGAAAGAAAAGATAAAGGATAACAGAGAAAAAATAAAAGTCAACAAACAATTGCCATATCTTGTGGGGAATGTTGTCGAGGTATTTATCTAAAAACAAGAGGGCAGAACTCATTTTATTAAATAAAGTTTTGTTATAAAATTCTTTAGTTTCTTTTTCACAATCATTGATTCATATGGATCTTTTATAATATTATTATGTCAAACTTTTATGCAAATTTAATTCTATAATATCAATAAAACGATTCTTTTTAGAGATTGTACTCGTGGTGGAAGTCTTACTCGTGCATTATCAAATTGTCCGGTTATCTGGATAATTTACTATAGCAATATAGTAACAATTTCTACCCGGGTACAATTCCTAATTTTTTATCCTATTTTATTTTATTTTATTTTGCAATGCGCCATCTGAGAAATATTGAAAAACAAATTACCATTTTTTACGTGTCAAATTCGTTATGATGATTCAGTTATTCACGATGGAGTTAAGCAATTGGACCATTATTTATTTACCTGAACAAGCTGCGGTCCGGCTAGTTTTAAATATGCAGAATTGGTTTGAGCAGCACAAGCCCTAGCCAACAATGTTTTACCCGTTCCAGGTGGTCCATACATTAAAACACCTAAAAATTTTTTTTTTTTTTTTTTAAAAAAAAAAAAAAATCATAGACGAAATAGAAACAGATAGTATACACAAACTCCCCGTACCTTTCGGTGGTTTGATACCTAAATTTTTGAATCTATCAGCATGTGTCATAGGAAGAACGATAGCTTCTACCAATT